ATTGTAAACCAAATTTATATGAAGAAACGAAAACGGTAAAAAAGATATTAATCAGTTCTAGATAAGAAAACGAGAGGTAAATCTAATCTAAACGGAAAGAAGAGAATCCATTTTTGAAATTTCTTTTAGAAAAAGGAAAATTCATTATTTAGGTTATTTTTAGAAAAGTTTTTCCGTTTCCTTTTTAATTTATATAAAAATAAATTTACTAATTTGACACGTTTCGAAATCTAATTGTCTGAAAGACGATAATTGTTGAATTACTAACCACTTATTTTCTCATATGGTGCATGCATTTATCCACATATACACATACACATAGTAGCATGGATATGGTTTGTTGTGCTCATGTTCTCTCGTAGCCTTCTACTCCCTCTCTATATATACACCACCCAATCGACCAACCTTCTTCCTATGAGCTAAAATAGTTTCTCAAATAGTTTAATCAAATTAGTATTCTCTTTTCTTCTTCTTCACTCAAAATCATGGTGTCTGCACAGTTGACCCTTGTTCGGAGGATCGTGGGGATATTAGGTTAGTCCCGATTAGTCACATCTACAAAACTTCTAACAATTATAAATGGCCTACCATTTTATTTAGATATTGAGTTTTTTTTTTCTCACTTTGTATGATCAAATTTGCAGGAAACGTCATCGCTCTATGCCTGTTCTTGTCACCAACGTAAGTTTTCTCTATATTATTTACATAAAATTCTTGAAACAATGAAACTTTCACCGAAAGGTGATTCTCAAGAATTAGTTTTTTAAAAAGATAGACCAAACTTGTTTCATACATTCAAGGCATGCATGGCTGGTTCCTTTTGAAAGATCTAAGGTTTATTTTCATCAGTGAAGCTTAAAATTTTTCTTCTTTTGTGTATAAACCACAACATTAAGTTGATATTTTTCTCATATTATATTTTATGCTTATGCCAAACCTTTTTTTCTTACATTTAATGTTTTTGCTAGCTAACAAGAAAGTAGATTTACTAGATTTCCTTCCAATAATGATTAAATTTATAGTAACTTATCATTAATAATGACTATTAAAAATAGGTAAACAACTAAAACTACTGATTTAATTAATTTCACATTTCATCAGGCCAACATTTGTGAGGATAGTGAAAAAGAAATCAGTGGAGGAATACTCACCAATGCCATATTTGGCGACTCTCATAAACTGTTCGGTTTGGGTTCTTTATGGACTACCCGTGGTGCATCCCGAGAGCACATTGGTCCTTACAATCAACGGTACAGGGATCTTGATCGAAATCGTGTTCCTTACCATCTATTTTGTTTACTGCGGCCGTAAAAAACAGCGGTTGGTTATAGCCGTTGTTTTAGCGGCCGAAATCGTATTTATGGCGATACTTGCGGCAATGATCTTCACTCTCCAACACAATACCGATCAACGGACAATGAGCGTTGGAATCGTATGCTGCGTTTTCAACGTTATGATGTATGCTGCTCCATTGTCTGTCATGGTACGTTCTATTTGTTTTAAAGTTTAATAATAGTTCTTATGATTTGATAACTTGAACTAACGGTTTTTGTTTTGTTATGTTTTGGCAAAATCATAACATGGAAAAATATGAAGAAAATGGTAATAAGAACAAAAAGTGTGGAGTTCATGCCGTTTTGGCTATCGGTTGCTGGGTTTTTAAACGCAGGCGTTTGGACAATCTATGCACTCATGCCTTTAGACCCATATATAGCTGTGAGTTTTTGTTTTTATCTCTCTCGATCTCATTAAAATTTTATGTTTCACTTATAAATGATAGTATTTCATATCTAGCTTGTGAAAAAAAACAAAAAAATATCTAGCTGAAACATACACACACATATATACTCGAGTAAATCATTTTTATAAAAAGAAAATAAAACGAAAAAACGTTCATGGATTGTGTAGGTAAATGATTATATGTTTTTTTCTTCTTCCCAATATCTATTAAAATTATCATTTGTTTCTTTACTAATGTTACTATAATGGGCTTGTTTTTTGCAGATACCAAATGGGATTGGGTGTGTATTTGGGCTGGCCCAATTAATATTGTACGGTATTTACTATAAAAACACCAAGAAGATATTGGCTTTGTTTCAGAAACCCCCAAACAGTTTAGCCACCGATCACATTCGCAACGGTCAAAACAATTTAGCCACCGATCACATTCACAGCGGTGAAATCAATTTAGCCATTGTCCTTGCTCGCTGAAGAATCTCATCAGAAGAACGCAAAATTCCAACAAACGTTTTAAACGACGTTTGATTTGGCTGTTTCTCATGTTGTTGTTCTCCTTTCGATTATCATCAGACTTTTTAATTATCCAGAACTTTATAATAAAATGATTTGAAACCATTTTCATCACTTTATGTTCAATTTTATATATGTCCTTAATTATCCCTTTTGAAAGTATTGGGTGTAATATCACAATGTTTAAGAGTATGAGGGTTGAAATTGAAATCTAACTTGTTTTAATCCTCGTTCTCGGCGAGATTCCAAATTTTGAAATTTGTTTATCAAACAGCGAAACGCGATTTTTGTTTTTTTCTCTTGAAGAAAAAATGGCGGAGAAGAAGAGATGGATTGCGATGTATACGAAGCATATCAAGCAGAAGAGGAAGGTTTATCACGATGGTTTTCTCGATTTGCAAATCGCCAGAAGAAAGGTTTTTCTTCAGTATATGCTTCAATTTCTCTTTGCGATTGTTCGTTTTAAAATTCACTATATGCTCTGGATATGGTGGAATATTCTGCATAGTTTACTCGGAATTCAGTGAAATTGGAGGCATGAGATTTCGTAGGTTTTTTGATTTCTTGTAGAAATTTGTGAAGTATCGATTGTTTTCCAGATACTCCGTGGTTGAGTCTTAACCTAATTTGAGTAGTATTCGGTGATTATCACTAATCTATCTCGTTCCGAGATGGTTTTGAGTACTTATTAGTGAAGAAGTGATATTCGGAGCTCCATTTCACTGGGATTATGCTTTGATTGGTTTCGTTTCCAAGTTTAGTTGATTAGCGAATATGAGCTTCTGTGGAGCTTGTTACATCTGGATTTTGGATTCCGGAGCCATTTTCTGAAAACGAGTTGTGTGATTTGTGGAGATCTGATTTATCGTGTTTTGCATCGAGTTTTGTGGAGTTTCTCCAATCATGGTTGGTTTACAGTAGCAATGGCAGATCAGTAACATTGAGAACTTATTTATGTGTCCCTGCATAATTGATTGAATCACTACCTCAAATTACATTGATTAGTTATGTGAATATTGCGCTTTTCCAGCTTCATCACAATGAGATTTGAATATCTGTTCAGTAACAGGCTTCAGAGCTAACTTAGTCAAGTGAAAACCAGGTGATGCTTTATGATGAGGCTGATAATATGCTTGAAAGTAGGATGCTAAAGGCAGACGAAGTTGTGAGCTCAGGCGAAACACTCACATTTCAAGCATATCTTGTGGATATATGCGATCCTAAGGAAGGAAATAAGCCTTCATCTGATCCTCCAAAGGTCCAACCAAGTTATCAAGGGTGTGGCCGCAAATCGTTTGTAGTGCTCAGGCCGAATTTCAAGAAAAGTTCTCTCCATGGTGGTATTATCCAAACTCTCAGAATTTTCTCAGGGAAGAGTTTCATCTTGAAAGGACTATACTAATCATTTCCAATTTGTTTATGGTAGAAGATAGAAAATCCAACTTTGTGAATAATCCGTCAAAAAGTCTCAGCCCATCTCACAAAATGATTAGAGGTGAGTTTAGTTACGTTAGTACTTCTGTGCTGGTGACCTATATTTCCCTCGAGAATTCCTAGCTACGACTTTTAATGACATTTTGACTAATTCCCGTGGAGAGTGAAACTCGAAGGCTGCAGCAGGCAATTAATGTTTCTCCTTCTACAATTTCAGGATTCAAAAAGAGAGAATTGCATAAGTATGGGGCTCTAAGTCCAGACACTGTAAAGCCAACAACAAAAGGTTTGATGCTTTCTTTTCCTTTCTTTGATGTTATCTATTGGTGGTAGTGAAATCAGAATCTCGTACCTTTTTATAGCTGAACTTTGGCATTTCTCTAAATTCGAAAAATCGATACTTCATCCGTCTATAGCAGAACTGTATCCATTTCATCTTGGCACATTGTGAGGTGGTTAACATTTTCAAGTGTTGATAAATGTCAATATTTATCAATCACAGTAGAAATCATGCTATGTAGACACTCAGTATATTGAAACTGTTTCAATATGTACCTTCTTGTTGAAATAGATTGACACATTATTTTTAAGGATCTTCTGGAGTTCGTAGACACTTAGTATATGATAATTTCAATACAAATTTCATGTTAGGAATATAAACTTGTTTCATGTGTTTTAGGCTCTATGTAATTTTGAAAACTAAACACTGAGATAGAAACACATAGAATGTACATGTATACTTATTGGTCCTGTGCGCACTATGACTAATAGCAAGTATGCAGGCACTCTACCTCTTGGCTCAGCTGGTAAAGAAAACAATATCAACTCTCCTTGTTATGGTAAGATCTGGGATGAATTTTTTTTGGTACCAAGAAATCGGTTTGAGTCATAGACTTGTGCTTCACATTCATCACCAAACCAATCCTTAAAATGAGAAATGATGATATCATTCTGCTATTGAGCCTGGTGTTTGATCTGGCAATAGATTCAAACTGACATGTCATGTCATCCTAATATGGTACTGTGTGAATTTGCAGGAAGGTCCGGTGCAGATTCAAGGTTAGAGAATGATAAGTTAAGCAAGAACGTTCCTTCTCCTCACAAGCCTTTACGTGATGGTGGGTCAAAGTTCTTTATATATGTTTATGTTTTTCTCAAACTGCTTTCTTTTTCGTAATACCAATGCTAAGAAACTTCATGAGAACATACATGACCCAAGATTTATTTTTCCTTGCAGTAAATCAGATACTCTCCATTCTTCAGAGACCTAATGTTACAGAGACATGTTCTGATAATGACCTACAAACATTAATGTCGTCAACAAAAGCACTGCCAGAATCTGATACCAGCCAAAGCCACAAAATGGAAGCTGTTTCATCGAGAGGTAACTCCAGAATTGAAGTATTCTAGACTTTAAAAGCTTAATCGTAAACAGTTAGCCATTCAGAATACAAAAATGAAGTTACGGCAGCAGATCTAAATTTTATATCTGAATTCTGAAAACTATAAAGTTATTTGTTGAAATCTAAAAGAATCTCATTACTACAAGCAATTCTTTGTTTTTGCTTATCTGAATTGCAGCAACATCTACAGATTCGCTTTGCCAACAATATATGGTGCAAGAAACCTCATTGGCCGGCGCAAGTGGTTGCTCAATGACTGATCACCTCCATGACCCCCCGAGTTTTGACCTTGGAATTTAAACAAACAGCCAAGGTCTCAGTTTACATAAATAGGTAACTTTTTTACATTTTACTTTTGTCCCTCTCCACGAACTGTAGCTTTTTCCGAAATTCTAGTGGGTGAAAACCATTATTAAGCATTTCCATAGTTCTATCAAAATCTAACCTGTGGTGTTCCCTTTTCGTTATGAAACCAATCATACTCATAATCATTACGATCTTTAGCAATATATTGCTATTTGCTTTCAATGGCCTAGTCACCACTTTAGGAAAAAGTACTGATAAGAAACATAGAAATAAAATTGGAATGAACTACTGAAGAAGATATGTAGTTTTATGTATATCTGACTTCAGAAATCCAACGAACCAGAGGTACCTTTACTTTGGGGAAATAAGACAGAATAAATAACCCACTTAAATCAAAACAAATCCCACAAAATACCTTTGTTGACCATTATTGTTTTTAATTATATGATCCAAATTTCAAATACATCATAATCTTATGAAGCCAAAGTAAAATCTAAGACATTCAAACATTTCGATACTTGAGCATTTGATCACTAGAGCATGCAACTAGTGTTTGATGATCCTTTGATCCACTTTCTAATGATGATGTTCAATCTTTTCATCATATTCCACCTTAAGATCCTTCAAGTCTTTCAAGCTCTCAGGTAGGTTAAGGGTTCTGCTCACTTTCAGCACATTTAAACCAATCAGACTAGAGATACTGGAGATTCTGCATTCTTTTCACAATCTCAGGGAAGCTCTTGAGCCGAATGGCCTGAAAGATTGAGCACTGCAAGAAAATCCATAAGCTTTATGCAGTTCCCAACGTCCAGCTTTACTACAGGAAAGAGCCTCGATGGAAGCTGGTATTTCTCTGATGCCGGTTCCATTGAGATACAATTCTTTGATGTTAGGTGGACGTCCTTTGGGAAAGCTTTTGGCTTCCACACAACCACTGAGGTTGAGAACTTGAAGAAAGTCCATTTTTTCCTGTGGCTTCAAAGCTCTGCAAGCTGGTACAACGTCGGAGATCTATTAGCAAGATTATGAGCTTCTGAAAGCTGATTGATTTCAACTAGTTTCTAGGAATGCTGAAGACTGATTGCCTTCAGGGACTGAATGCTCTGGATAAAACAGAAAAAGAACTGAAACCCGAAATCACCAACAGATTCATATGCGTAAAAGATAGAGAAGTGTTGTAGAAGTTTGATTACCTTGGTTCCTTCCCAAAGATTTTGAAGTTTACTATAAGGCATAGTGAGTTCCACAAGAATATGAGGACTAAAATCTTTTGGCAAGGTTATCAAAGGGTAGTTTTTCCCAGTGAAGAAGCTGTAGCTCGCAAGGCAGAGAGAAGTGGCCCTTTTGAAGACCGAGTCCGGGATATTTTATGGGATCAGAGCTGTAAATTTTCAGCAGTCTAAGATTACACATACTCTTGAGTGCTACAGGGTTAATGACAAAGCTCAAGCCAGACACATAGAGTAATATGCTTTCTATCCCTTCAAGAACCTGAAACACATAAGAGAAGCAAATGGATCAAGAAGTTGGCACATATCAAACAAAATGATCAAGGTTTAGATAGTGAGACAGACCAAACTGTGTTCGCCATTCGATTTGGTTTCTTCATCTTGTAGCAGATGTTGAATGTAATGAGTGTCGCACAATCTGCGACCATCCCCATTCTTTATTTCTTGACTGAGGATTTCGTAGGCCACGTCTTGTATCAGCTCGTGCATTTCTACTCTATTTTCTGGGTTTGGTCACAAGAGACTTTTCTAAAAGATACTTGATCCCAGAGAGCTTGAATCACGTGTTCCACAGATTTGCCATTGAAAAACAAAGCAATGTCAAGAAATATGCTCTTCTCGTTGTCACTAAGTTCATCATGACTGCTCTTGAATAATGTCAGGTCTTGAGACGCTTTACTTTGGGTTCATCAAACTCATTGCCCTCGTCAGAGAGACTTTCATACTATGGGTTGCCTCTCCTTGATTCATACGCATCCAAAATCGTCGAATATATCTTTTCTTCCTTATTCGAGCCAATCCTTTCAATTGGGGCGCACTTTGCTTCTCTTGTTGCCACAACTACATTGTTGTTCTACCAACTCATATCATGGTGCCACAAAGACCTCTCTTTCCACCTATGCCTTCTGTTGGTTTTGTCCCTGAAGCTCTGGAAACCACACGCGATGACGTTGATGTCCTTGGATGTGGTGCTGAATTCCAACAACAACTCACTCTCCAGTTTGTCAGGTAATTCAACCTGACATATAAATAGATGTTCCGTTTCGAGCTTGGGGATAGCTTCAAATATGTTTTCCGTGGGTAAATCGTCTTGACGAAACAATAAGGCTGAGCATTCTTTCATCTTCTGTTTAGGGGAAAGCACGACGCAAATCCTGAACTCGTTTGTCCCTGAAGGGATGGTCATGGAATTCCCAATAGCTCGATGATTGAACTCCGCTGGTACATTTTTTCCGGGTAGCCATGCATAATTACATTGCTGGGTAATTACTCTACATGCTTCTTTACCCAGTTTCAAGCAGTTGGCGAAATATGCTTTAATTGGAGACTGAAAAGGGGAAGATTTTAGTGTCTCCAATGATTTACAATCGTATACTCCTAGTGTTCTGAGCGAGCCAGGGAGCTCTGGCAGTGATGCAAGTTTTGGACAGCCAAGTATATGAAGCTCTTCTAACCGATGAAGATCTTTTATGCAATCTGGAATTTCCTCAATATCTTGGGGTCCCCTTAGATAACTTGCTGCCTCAACTGGAATGTTCTCCATATTGCCACTTCCACATATCTTTAGATTCTTAAGGCTAGACCAGAGCCTAACTGATTTGGGCAAATCTTGTATCATTGTGTCTGTGGTTGAGAGTGATATGATGTTCCTTGAAATATATGGAATTTTTCTCAACTGGAAGCATCCAAACATGTTGACGCCTTCAAGACATGCCAAGTTGAAGTGAGTCGGAACAACTTGTAGCAATAGACAATATGCCACCTCCAAACGCTTTAGTTTTTGAAGATTTCGAATTGACGAAGGAATCTCTACCAAACTGACGCAGCGATCCAGATGCAACCTCTCGAGATTTGTAGCGTTCGAAAGATCTGGGAGTTCCTTTAAATTCTCGGACTCTGCCAAACTCATCCTCTTGAGATTTGTAAGAGGCTGAATGTATATCACCACAACAAAGGAAGAACATCAACACATGACGAGAAAGTACATACTTCAAGGATTATTGATTTTAAAATCTTTGTCATTTGAGTTATCGGATAACTGAATGTAACT